TCGATCAGGTGCCTCCTGCACACCCCCTACTGGGGACGTGCCCGCAACCAAGGTACATGCCCTTGACCAGATTCGAACCTGAGACCCTTCAGTCTGCAGGCCAACGCTCTAATCCACTGAGCCAAACCGGTTAGGGCCACGAATTATTTTTTAATTTAAAGATGCCATACTCTTAAATGAGTGAGTTCCACTGAATTTATCTTTTTTTCTTTTTTGCCTACAACAGTGTAGTGATAAGTTCTAAGGATATCATAGAAAAATGATTACACATGTTTCACTTCAGATATGTTAAGGTCATATTATCTGTGTACTTAAAACCATTTAGAAATATTTTTACAAAAAAGATTTACATGTAAGAAGGTTTGTTTTTTGCAATCACTTGCCAACAAATTGAAACTGCTTATCTTTGCATGTTTTATTTCCTTTTTCGTTCATGCTGTGAAAGTTATCTATAATAATAGATAAAAGTTTAGTAAACAAGCAGTCAGAAATTATTCAGTATATAGTATAATTTAATATTGCATACTTAGACATGCATATGTATTTAGACAAGAGTTTATCACACAACACTTATAATTACTTTATAACTGGATTGCTGTTTTAATGACTGCTCTTATTAAATCTAGTTATATTAACTATTTATGGCCTACTAGTACCATCTATACACACCCTTTAGAATATTCTCATTGTCTTAATGCCAAAGAAAGTACAGACGGTTTCGTTCATCTCAAGTTTTGTTAATGTAATGTTATTTTTTTTGTTATATACTTATCACTTTTATATAAAATTAAAATTTTTGTAAAATCAGTCCCAATATCACTGTTTTGCTGATATTATTATAATAATAATAGATTTTATTTTAAACCTTGAGTAATGAACATACTCACAAATGCCTATTTTGGGTAATAAGTCTTATTGAAGACATATCTGGGTATTCTTATATAATGATTATTTCTTACAGCATTATACATTATTTTCAAACTATTAACATTTCAAAATATATTTGGTTTACTGGTAGAAGATTAACACTATTTGTAATGTAGCTAGACTATGTCTTCAATAAGACTTATTACCCAAAATAGGCATTTATGAATGTGTTCATTATTCAAGTTTTAAAATAAAATCTATTATAATAATGTCAGAAAAACAGTGAGATATATATATGTATATGTATGTATGTATGTATGTGTGTGTGTGTATATATATATATATATATATTCAGACTAAAATGAGACTTTTGGCCTAGTCTTACACTTGGGAGATGACATGGTTTTGAAGAGTTGCAAGTTCTGAAGGATGGTTGTTGAAATACTAAGCAGAGAAAGAATGAAGCATGCCTTTGTGTGCATCTGTATGTTAATGTATCTCTGTGCCTTAACACAGTGATTGATTATAGTCTCATTATACATACTCTACAATCGTTTTCTATTTGTTTCCTACTGGACAGTACTTGCCCTCTATATATTTCTGCTTTTATATATCTATCCAAGTGACTTGGTTCCTGCTGGCCTTATATCTCTTTCTATTTTTTGTTCTGAGATTTTGCCTTTGCAGCAGATGGCAGAACCCCATGTTGTTCCAATCCTATCCCTGCTCACTGTAACTTTGTACCTTTCTTATATTCTTGTCTTTTTCACTAACCACTTCAGTTTCTGCTTATGTCTTTTAATCCTGAAACACCTCTGTTCAAATGGTGATGTTGTTCTCAGGATAGGAACTTTTACAGTCAATAGTTACTATATTGTACTATGGTAAGGAAATACCCTAGCAATATATTTCCCCATCTTTAGCGCCACCTTTCATCCTCAGTAAACAAGCACCTTTTGAAAGTAATATCATTTAAGATGCATTTTATATTTAAATATAGTCAAAGTAGTTGAATGCATAATGAGGTTATAGTTTTGAACTAATCTGGAATCACTGTATAAGAAGTTGGAAAACGTCACTTATTATGCTTGTACAATATTATTTAAGTACAACTATTCCTATAAAATGTGTGTTCATGTTCAGAGGAAACATCCCAAATTACAGAGGCCTTGCTTATCTTAGTTTACAATATGTAGAGCAAGTGATAACGGGTATTGAAAACATTTATACATATGTAAAAAGAAATATTTTTGGTTATTAAGTGAATGTAAGTGATAAAAACTTTAGCAACAATCAGAAAGATCTGATGTTTCATGGTTTAGCATCCTCCTTGAGATGAGGTAATTACAAAAAAAAGTATTGGCAGAATTTATTTTTTTTCTTGACCATAATCTTTTGAAAACACCCATAGTTAATAAAAATGATTTGTTAGTTAAGGTAGTAATGTAACTAAAATCTGTCAGTTACTTCGATTACCAAACAAGTAAGGTGTGTGATTTTCAACCAAGGCCACAAACTATACGAAATGTTTTGAGATGAAAATGTTAAAATTAATTAGCAACTCTAGTTAAAGTTTTTGTAACTCATCCTAAATCATAGCGATTGGATACTGAGGATTTGGTTATTTTTATTTGCTAGGGATAGGAATACTTGGCTTACTTTGTTTTTGGCTAGTCAATAAATTGAGATAAAATGCCTAGTAGGATTACAAACAAGTATACCTTTATCATTCTAGTTTGGGGGTGGGGTCAGATGATATTAGTATATTAATGTTCAAAATTTGTCTTACATGAGTGATCAAGTTGTGGAAAAAATTTATAGTTGTCCTTATGTAGTTATGTAAATTTGCCTGTTTTATCTATATTGCTTAACTTCAGGCAGTTCTATTTCATTTACTCAACTAGTTTTTATCAAGTACTATATATTTGGCATTGTTTTATACCCTTCGGGCATTGGAAATTACAAAGATTGGTACTACATAGTCCCTAACTCCTAGTGTATGTGGCATGATTTCACTGTTCTGCCCCTAAAATATTCCTAGAACTAGATTTTTAATTTGTTGCCACCACAGTTTTTTGTTGTGTTTTTTAAAATCTCAATCCAAAGAATCTGGTAGGTGTTCTGCAAATGTTTGTTCATAGTATTTGAAGTTAATAATCACCTTTTTGAGTGTAGTACAAAATTTTCTTTTTATAAAATTTTGTAACAAAATGAATACAATTTAAAGGAGTCAGATCTTTTGTAAATCAGTTTTAGTGGTTGCTTATGGTTTATATTTCTGTGCTTTTTAAATATGGGAGTATATTACAAGAGCTACATTAAATGTAGGCAAGAAGACAGGCACAGAAATAAAGCAGTTCTTTGGGTGCTGTAGTCTTCCATGATAGTGCTAATAGATTTTGACAACTTGTATTTGACTACCGTATTTGCCGGCGTATAAGACGATTTTTTGGCCCTGAAAAATATGCCTCCAAGTGGGGGGTCGTCTTATACGCCAGGTACACTTCAGATAGACTGCCCATAGTGCTTGCCCCGTGCCATAGTGGCCTCCCGATGCCCGCACTTCATATTCCACTAGTGAGGTCCCAGGGAGATGCTGATGCAAGGGTGGACCAGACTGCTATAGTGACAGCGCGGGCAAACAGGGAGCAGGGACCAATCAAATCAGGCTTTGTATACAGCCAACAGCCAACCACAATACTGCCCCATTGTACAGTACAGCATAGAAAATGTCGACCAGTCAAACCCCTATCATCCCTATCATGGCACCAAGATGTCGTTGATGAACTTTTAATATCAGATGATGAAGAGGAGTTTGAAGGCTTTTAAGGTGAAACTGTCACGCCAGCAAACTTGCTAGGGACTTGCCCGGCACTTGCTCTCTCCCTCTATTTGTTATCTTCTATCATTGACAGTCCCTCTAGGTTGTGGGCTGCTTGCCTGTGTTCCTGAGAAGCATCTACGGTACCAGTCTATAGAGTGTGTTTTCTTTAGTGAATTACCGGTATGTTTACCGGTAATAAACTTGCACTGTTTTATGTATATGTTTGATTACATACAGCCTTGTGACAGTTTTCCTGCATGTCATAAGCATTTGAATATAAATTAAAATGTTAAAATCAAATCTGATATTGTTTTACCTTTTATTTGGTGTGTGGAAGGTGTGCGGAAGAGGGGGTAGTCTTATACGGCGAGTATATAACAAACTCTGTATTTTGAGTGGAAATGTTAGGGGGTCGTCTTATACGCCCAGTCGTCTTATACGCCGGCAAATACGGTATCATAGTTTTATCTCAAGTAGTCAAGTAGTGTTAATTTAGATGCCACATCTGAATCAGTAAATGTAGAAAACCAAACTTGATTTCTGAAAATATTCCAATTATTTAAACCTACCAATCCAAACATTTCTTTCTTTTTTTATGTATATATATTTTTATTGATTTCAGGGAGAGGGAGAGGGAGAGAAAGATAGAAATATCAATGATGAGAGAGAATCATTGATGGGCTGCCTCCTGCATGCCCCCCACTGGGGATCGAGTTTGCAACCTGGATGTGTGCCCAACCAGGAATCAAACTGTGACTTCCTGGTCCATAGGTCGACATTCAACCACTGAGCCACCACAGCCAGGCCAAACATATCTTTCTTGAACATTATTTACCTTAATAGAAAATTGAAATAAAGCTATTCTTAGCAGGTGATTGTTGAGAAGAAATTCTAAGTAATTATTGAGGAAGGTCATTGAGATAGGTCAGCTAGAGATGGACACGCACCCTGCCTAATAATTGGATGGATGCTACCTGGCTGGAAGATGGAGCTGATTGGTGGATCAAAATCTCAGAGGGAAACCTTTTATTTTTAGGTTAAATGTTTATTAAGAATTATATTCCATGAAGTACTATTGTATGCTGGTATTTAACTACTAAAGAATAAAATGATCAATGATTATTACCCTGCCAAAAGATTGTTTTAAGTGATTTTTGGAATGTGAAATATATTTTGAGTGGTAGTAAAATTTATTTCTTTAAAATATGAAATTTATAATATATCCAGAGTTAGAATATAACATATCTTATAAATAAGTTTGTTCTATTTTATGTGTTTATTTGCTGAAGCCATCTTTGTGTTTCTTCAGGTTTATGTGAGATTAAGGCCATTCTTCAGGGAATTCTTGGAACGAATGTCTCAGATGTATGAGGTAAACATGCATGAACTGAACAGCATAAATATTTTATTTTATTCAACATAGTACCCATATTTAGATCATGTATAATGATTACTTCTTTTCCCCTGAATTTATAGATCATTCTTTTTACTGCTTCTAAGAAGGTGTATGCAGACAAGTTACTGAACATACTAGACCCTAAAAAGCAACTGGTCAGGTAAATTTAATTAAATAGTGGAAATGTCTGTCACACTGATCTATGAAATTACTATGATTATATTTAACTTCAATGGCCTTTTTAAGTTGGCTACATATATAGAGATTTGTCATGCTGGATGGTGAAAATAAATGAATTTTTTAAATGCCCAAACTCTTAAAGAGTTCCTAATGCTATAATTCCAGACAGACGTTCTTTAAAAGGACACGAAGATCAAATGTATTTATTTATTGTTACATCTGTATCCTTACTTCTTTTGGGATTGGGGGAGGGAAGTAGGTGGAATTTTTCACTGTGTGCATGATATTTTCATTTCCTTTATGTTGATATAGTGCATGTGATGGCACCTTTTTAATGGCATAGAGAAATAAAAGTTAATTTTAACAGAAAGGATTAAATTAAACCCTCTTGCTTTTTTCAAGAGCAAATTTATCTTCCATGGAAAGAAAATGGTACATGAATCTAATTGGGAATTGCAGTTGGCTTAGTCATTCAGGTTATTCCCTGTGTGTGTGCCCTGAGCCAGCAGATACAGTGTGTTCCTGGTTAGGTGGATTGCCTTGGGTAATTTTTAAAATAGTTTGAAAATTAGTTACACTGAGATATTAAGACTAAAGCAGTCTTATTGCATCCTATAAAATAAGGGAGTTAATCTTTGAGTTTTTGAATAGAGCTGAGAGTGATGCCATAAAAGGCTTATAACAACCTTAATAGCTGGCTATTCATTTTCTTGAATGCTTTCTCCATATTGTTTTCATGAAAAATTCTAAACTTATCTAAGGATTAAAATTTGTCCTTATAGTTAGTTTTATTTTTATCTTTAATATAAGCAAGCTTTAGACTACAAATTAGAAAATGTATTTTTTATTCATAAGAGTGTATTATAATTTATGCTCATTTTACCCAACTTCAACAAAAATATACAAATGATTTTGCTTTTATCATTCGTTCTATTCAGTCCCTCCAGTGTTCCAGGGAATAGTGGTGAGCCACACAAGCCCTTCCCCTCTTGGAGCTTTCATTTTACTGGAGGACAAATTGTACTCATGCAATTATAATCTTATCCCTCTTTTAAATTAGTTTTCTAAAATATTCACATTTAGGAGTTTAAATTTATCTTGTTACAATTTGAAAACTTAAAACAGGAAAACCTGCCGTAACCGGTTTGGCTCAGTGGATAGAGCATCGGCCTGCAGACTGAAGGGTCCCAGGTTCGATTCCGGTCAAGGGCATATACCTTGGCTGTGGGCACATCCCCAGTGGGGGGTGTGCAGGAGGCAGCTGATCGATGTTTCTCGCTCATCGATGTTTCTAACTCTCTATCCCTCTCCCTTCCTCTCTGTAAAAAACCAATAAAATATATTAAAAAACAACAACAACAACAAAACACGAAAACCTTTTTGAAGAATATATTGAATTCATTAGAGTGCTATAGAGAACTATCTATGTTGGTGACAAGGTAAACTCAGAAATTCCTATGATCTCTCAATCCCATGAGTCCAAATGCAGATTTGATGACTAGCAAAAAAATAAATAAAAATAACAAAAATGTAGTTTCTTTCTAAAACTGCAAATGTATGCTATTGACTCTCGGATTTTTGAATACTGGAGAGGCTTCAGCTTAATTTAAAGTAACTGTTAGTATCCATATACATATTCAGTTGTCTCCTGACTTGGGTGAGATTGCTGCTCGTGAAGAGAAAAGCATCGGTACTGACTTGCATGTACATGCTCTATTTGCCTCTCCAATTGCCTCATATCTAAATGTTTATGCAAATAAAATTACTTAAATCCTTTTATTTAGTCTATTTTTTCAAAGTAGGACTGTCTTTAAGCCTTTTAGAGATAGATGATAATTTAATTAAAAGTATTTATAATGGGGAAAGAATTACTTATACTACATTTTGTCTGGCTGTAAAATTCTTAACCCTTTGCCATTACCACTGGCAGTGATTTTTTTTAAAAAAATTTTATTGATTAAGATATTACAAATGTGTCTTTATCCCCCATTATCCCCTCATCCCCCCGTCTTGCCTTCACCTTCACCCCCTGTCTGCATCCATCACTTGTGCTTATATGCATGCATACAAGTCCTTTGGTTGATCTCTCCCCCTTACCCCACCCTCCCCTACCTTCCCTCTGAGATTTGAGCATCTGATCGATGCTTCTCTGTCTCTAGATCAGTTTTTGTTGTTCATTGGGAGTGATATTTTTAAGGTTGAGGTTTGTTTGGGGAGGTGGTGGTGTTAGAACTATGACAGATTTTGTTGGTAGAAATTGCCCTTTTCTTAAAATTGCATGATTAAAAATACAGGTATGAATGAGTAGGCCTTAGCTTTTGAAAAATTGTTTAGTGGAATTAAGACACAAGGAAGCCCTATCCGGTTTGGTTCAGTGGATAGAGCATCGGCCTGCGTACTGAAAGGTCCCAGGTTCAATTCCTGTCAAGAGCATGTACCTTGGTTGCGGGCACATCCCCAGTAGGAGGTGTGCAGGAGGCAGCTGATTGATGTTTCTCTCTCATCGATGTTTCTAACTATCTCTCTCCCTTCCTCTCTGTAAAAAATCAATAAAATATATATTTTAAAAAAGATACAAGGAAGCCAAACTATCAAATTATTATAGAGGACTAATATTTTTTTAGTTCGGAATGAAGATTATATCATTATTACAGTACCTAAGTATTATAAAACCTTTAATAGCTTTGTTAAATTATACAGAATTTTTCAACTTAGCAGCTATCATTAGTGAAACATCAGTTTACATGTTATACTTAAATCTAAATTCATTTCATTCAGTCTTTGTTTTTTCAAATGACACACACACTCAATTGAAAAATGAGTGGGAAAAGTTGAAATGATGGAATGTTTTGACCACCTTTTCTCAAAACTTATAAGGGAAACTAAAAACATATTTTTTAAATGCCAACACAGAAACAGTCCTTCTTATATTTTCTATTCTGGCATGTACAGGGATAGGGAGGCTTTGTGGTCTTCTGGTTAGAGCAAAGGACTGGGAGCCAGGAAGATTCTGGGTTCCAATGCGGGGCTAACCACTGACTTACTGTTTGGCCTTGGGCCAGTCACCTGACCTCCTTGTGCCTCAGTCAACCATCTGGAAAATTGATTTAAAAGCCAGGACCTTGCTGACAACCAGATGCAGCATCTGAACTGAGCTTTCTGGTTAAATAAATTATAAAAACAATTTACAGAGTTTTTAATCCCACTATTTAATATAACATTTTGGGATAAACCATTTAAGACATGGTAATATTTGGTTGTAAGTTTTCAGTAATTGCTAAGAATTTTTATAGTAAAGCTATAGCCTGAAGCTTAGGCCCACATTTGTATATGAGTTTCCTTTGTGACAAAATAATAAGACATAATGTGTAAAGCCTATGGGGTGTGTGTTTATGTTTCAGTATATGTTATACTTTTTAGAGGCTGCTTTTTTTATTTTTTTTAGTTAATTTGTTTTTATTTTTATGTTTAGGCACCGACTTTTTCGTGAACATTGTGTTTGTGTACAAGGAAACTATATAAAGGACTTAAATATCCTTGGAAGAGATCTTTCAAAAACTATAATAATTGACAACTCACCACAAGCCTTTGCATATCAGGTAGGAAGAGGGTTGCTAAGCAAATTCAGAATGGAAAAAAAGTCACAATGAGGACAAATGCTGCCAAACAGTATGATGGGGGAACAGAACTTTCACTGGAGGAATTTCCCTGTTTAGTATCACACTTATAATTAGAAATGCCAAATTGGCATATTCCTTGTGAAAAAGTTTCTTTTAAATTGAGTACAACATAGACCTAGCTGGTTTGGCTCAGTGGATAGAGCATCACTCTGAGGACTGAAGGGTCCCAGGCTCAGTTCTGGTCAAGGGCACATGCCTGGGTTGTGGGCTTGATCCCCAGTAGGGGATGTGCAGGAGGCAGCTAATAAATGATTCTCTCTCATCATTGAAGTTTCTCTCTCTCTGTCCCTCTCCCTTCCTCTCTGAAATCAATAAAGATATATTTTTTAAAAAGATAAAGTACAACAAATAAAAATCTGAATAGTAAATGTGAATAAGAAGGGACAAGATAAACATTTAATAATAGCATTCTTATGAGTTATTACATCAGTAATTATAAACATGTTTGAGAATTACAATAGCTTAACCATCTTCCTCTGGTCCATTTTTGACATTTTTTAATATTTTGATGGACTATTTTATCAGTATATTTGTACCCTTTGTTAATGATTCTTTGAAATATAACTTTGACTAGAGACAAGCCACCCTTGCAAGATATATATTGTACATTATGAATGCCTTCATGTGATCCATTTGAGATTTCCTTCACAATCAATAGGTGCAGAATGGGGATGACGGAAGGTAGGTTGGGTATAGATTAAACAAGATTTACCTTTAACGTGTTTTAAAATGTCCACTAAAGAAAAAGAAAGGTCAACTTCATATGGTTTTGAAATACGTTCAGTTTAGGTCACTACTTTTATTTGCTTGCATTTTGAAATGTTTTTAAGAATTTTTTCTTGGTGCCTAGATAAAATCATTTCAATTATCCTCAATCTCAAACAATCCTATATAATAAAGTGGTAATATTCAAATTGACTGTCACGCCCTCGCAAAAGACGGCCACTGCCCCGACGTGGTCACAAGATGGTTGGCAGGGGAGAGCAGTTGTGTGTAATCAGGCCAGCAGGGGAGGGCAACCGGGCTGGCAGGGGAGGGCAATTGGGGGCGACTGGGCTTGCAGGGGAGCAGTTAATTGTTGATCAGGCTGGCAGGGGAGTGGTTAGAGGGTGATCAGCCTGGCAGGCAGAAACGGTTAGCAGGCAGGCAGGCAGTTGGGAGCCAGCAGTCTCAGATTGTGAGAGGGAAGTCCCTGTAGGATCGGACCTAAACCACAGTCGGACATCCCCTGAGGGGTCCTAGATTGGAGAGGGTGCAGGTTCGGCTGAGGGACACCCTCCTCCCTCAGTGCATGAATTTTGTGCACTGGGCCTTTGGTGTTCTATAAACTTTTAAAGACTTTTATCCCAGAGATTATCTATATATCCATAATAATAAAAGCCTAATATGCTAATTAGACCGGATGACCTTTCAGACAAAGCCGGGGTTGCGAGGGAAGCCCGGGTCCCAGGTACCTGCCAGTGGTTGGAGGGAAGCCCGGGTCCTGGATGCCAGAGGGAAGCTGGTGCCGGCAGCTGGGGGAAAGGAAGGCCTACTCTTGCATGAATTTCATGCATCAGCCTCTAGTCTATAATAATAAAAGCGTAATATGCTAATTAGACTGGGTGTTCTTCCGTATGAAGCCAGGGCTTCAAGGGAAGCCCGGGTTCTGGGTGCCAGAGGGAAGCCAGTTTTGGCAGTCGGGGAGAGTAGGGCCTACTTTTGTACAAATTTCATGCATTGGGCCTCTAGTCTGTATATATAAAAAGCCAGTGACCAGAAGACTGTTAAGGACCAGAACTACCAGTCGCTATAACGTCCATTGTGTCCAGCAAACAGGTCTGATTGGGGTTCGGGCCAGCTGGCCAACTGCCTGCAGCCCCTCCTCCTGGCAGGCCCCGCCTCTGATGGGCCCCCACTACCCTGATCGGTTCACAGCCCCTCCCCCAGCCATCTCCACCCCCCATTGGCTCCCCACACTCCAGTCAGGAGCAAGGCTGGCTGGCCAACCCTCCATGGCCCCTCCCTCAGGTCGTTGGCCCCCGATCAGTCCCTGCCACCCCATTCGGGAGTGGGGCTGGCCGGTCAACAGCCCCTTTCCACAGCTGGCCCCACTACCCCAGTCGCCCCACGGCCTCTCCCCCCAGCCAGTTCTGCCCTCAATTGGCACCCCCCACCCCAATCAGGGGCGGGGCCGGGCCTGCCAGACCCACCCGTGCACGAATTTGTACACTGGGCCTCTAGCACATCTACATATATGATAGATGAATATACAGATTTGCCCGGTATGCTGTCATCTTACAGCTGTTCATGGGATGGGCGTGGCTGCAGGGCTGTGGGGCGTCACTTGGGGTCTAAGTGTGATTTCGTCCCACCCAGGCAGACTCCCCCATGGCCGCAGACAAATCCCAACGCCAACCTGGGGTTTACTAAACTTTACTGGAGCTACTCCCCACACCTCTACCCACTGCCCCAAGACCCTGCTTTCCCCAGCAGGGTGCTCCGAGAGCCGAGTAGGGCGGGAGCTGCCTGGAGCCACGGATGGGCGGGGCCACCAGAGCCAAGCTCCCAGGGGTCTGAGGAGAGCACTTGAAGGAAGAGGAAGCTTCGGCAAAGGGGCCAGCCAGGTGCCGCAGTCAGGGAGTCAGCAGGCGTGCGGACAGTCCTCTGCCTGAGGGGCGGCTCCTTGCCCAGGAGCCACATTGCCCAGCTTTGGCGAAGTGGTCAGCCAGAAGGCAGACAGCCCAAGGGGCACAGAGCAGCGCTGAGGAGGCATGCACTGGAGCTGGCTTGGGCCATGGTAGGGTGCTGGTGGGCGGGGGGATCTGCCTTGCCTGTGAAGAGTAAGGTTCTGCAGTGGCCCCAAAACGCGGGAAACAGGCGATGACTGTTGGCGTGGAAGGACGCCTGGGCAGAGAGGCGCAGAACTGCGGCCCGGGGGGGGAGGGGAGGTTGAGGGCACCGCACTGCTGGGTACCCCACTGCGGCGGTTTGGCGAAGCTCAAAGCTCCCGGCGCTAACCGGGCCTCACCTTGGCCCTCGCACTTCCGCTCCTGCATTGGCCCGAAAGCAAGCCTGCGCTCGCCCTACCCCCAGTTCCCATCCCACCCACGGGGGTGTGCGCCTGCACAGTGAGTGCAAAGCCTACCACCTGCTCCACAGAAGGGGGGCTGTAATGAATGGGGGCGGGGGGCGGGGGAGAGGAAAGAATGTAGACATCCATGATGAAGAGGTGCTTAAGAACGAGTCTCTAAGTCAGTGGTTCTCAACCTTCTGGCCCTTTAAATACAGTTCCTCATGTTGTGACCCAACCATAAAATTATTTTCGTTGCTACTTCATAACTGTAATGTTGCTACTGTTATGAATCGTAATGTAAGTATCTGATATGCAGGATGGTCTTAGGTGACCTCTGTGAAAGGGTCATTCGACCACCAAAGGGCTCGCAACCCACAGGTTGAGAACCACTGCTCTAAGTCATTATCTCACGGGGAGGTTTGTTCTGTTTGCCCTGGGGCTGTCCCTTAAGAAAGGCAGAGAGTGCAGTTGTGAGGGCTTCCTGCGAGCTAAGTCCAGTTCCACACCCAACTGAAATTGGCCTCAGTTTCCTGGTGTGTCAAATGGATTAAGCGTGTACCAATGCCTTCGCTGAGCTTTGAGGGCCAATTGAAATACTATATAAAGAAAATGTTCGATTCCGGTCAAGGGCATGTACCTTGGTTGTGGGCACATCCCCAGTAGGAGCTGATCGATGTTTCTCTCTCATCGATGTTTCTAACTCTCTATCCCTCTCCTTTCCTCTCTGTAAAAAATCAATAAAATAAAAAATAAATAAATAGATAAATAAATAAATAAATATTGTAATTTCAGACCAACCTATGTGGTTACTTTAGGTCTCTGAGTTTGAAAGGCCATCACACAGGCCTCCCCTAAGCTTGTCAGGTTTAGTATGTGGCCCCTTTTTGTCAACAATTCAATGTC